TTGTTGGGTTTGGTGCTTGGGAAGACCCCAAGCCTGGGGCAGCTGCCTCCCCCACCCCCACCAGGCCCCTCCTAAGCCTCAGGAACTCCAGCTCGACCCCCACCCCTTTCTCAGAAAACAATGACTCCACCCCTTGTCCCCCACACTGGTCATTGCTGTCCTTTCTCTGGCTCCAATTGCCCTGCCCTCCCCCCGGCCCTGGACACACACCAGGGGCTGCCGGCCCCTGAGTCACAGGGTCCAGCAAAGAACTGCACTCCCAGACTGAGAACAAAGAGCCACTGGAGTTGAGGTGGGACAGGGAGCCCAGGGCCACCAGGCTGACTCCAGGGACAGGAGCAGACCACACAGGCCCTGGCACCCTACCCAGCTATCCCTGACCAGCCTCTCCTCCCAGTCTCCTGCAACGGAGAGTAGCTTCTCGACCTCCTGGTTGGAAATGAAACATGGTAAGACAGGAAACAGGGGCTGAACCATGGAGAATCTCCACAGTTTTACAAGGAGACAGGCGCTGGGGGCTGGAGAGGGGCTGGAAGTGGGGGAGGTTTATGCACAGATCACCCTTGGCCCCCCTCCCCCCCTCCCCCGGCCCTGGCCCCGCACCAACTGTCTTCCCCGGGCTCAGCTGACCACAGCCCTAGTGCCCAGGACCAGGACAGGGTGAAAGGTGGTCCTGGGGTCAGACCATGCGCGTGCTCTTGCAGATGCGGAGCACACACACACCTGGCGCCCACCCTGCATCGCGCAACCCCCTGCAGAAGGAGAGGGCAGTAGGCCGTGCGGTGCGATGAGCATTTGCTCATCTGCTGCTACTGTAGGAGGCTTCTCTCCGGGCTGTGCGTTTGAGGAACAGGATGAAATGCTGCGCTGCAGCCGATGGCCTTGAGGCCTCTTTGACCTGGGATGGGGTGAGACCCCTGAGCATAAAGGATGGTCGCCCAGGGCCCCTGCAGGGGTGGGGGCAAGGAGAGAGTCCCTGGAGCAGACCCACCAGGAAATGCTTCTAGAAGGATACGGACAGGTGGCGAGAGGATGAGAAAGAAGAAGAAAGAAGAAAACGCCAGGAACACAAGGATCTGTTTCTATACCCGAGTCTGCTTTGCCTAGAGGGCAGGTGCGGGGTTTGGGTGCAGGGCGCGGGGCGTAAGCAAAACGTAATTATGAAAAGCATCAGGGATCTCCTTTCCGGAGTAGGAAATCAAGCTGGAGGTGGGGTGGCCGGCGGACAGCGCGTGCAGGGACCGTGGGAGCCACCACCGAGGGGACTTATTTAATGTCTGGTCTGCCTATTATTTTGCAAAGATGACTGGTTGGGGAGGCAGCCAGGCGCTGTCTCGGTTGTGGGGAGCGACGTGGGCAGACGGGGAGGCCCAGAGGGCCGGGCTCGGCTGGTCTGGCGTCTGCTTCCGCCCGCGCCCCGCCACGCCGGCGTCGCCCGTCCCACCTGCCCCCAGCCCTGCCTCGGTCGCGCTGGCTCGGGAGGGGCACCCGGGCCTCGACTGCTCTCGCTGCGTCGTCACTCGCGAAGCTCAGCAAACGGGTCCCCCCGCCAGCAGCCTGGGACGCTGGGGGACTCAGCCTGTTGGGTGCGGGGTGCGTGCGGGGCCTGGGTGGTGCGGGGACCCCGCCGTGTCGTCGGAGCCGCGGCGCCCCCGGCGGCGTCTCGGAGAACTGCAGCGCCGCTCCGCGCCTGCGCACTCGCCCGCCCCGGGCCCCTGGCAGCGCGGGGCGAGCGCGCCCCCTGCTGGCCCGTGCTGCACGCGGCCGCTGCGCCGGGCCTGGGAGGTGGCCTTGATGGCGGCCAGCTTGGAAGCCGGTCATCGCGCTGGGCCTCGGCGTGGGCGGCACAGTGGCCTCGCCTGGCTTGACAGTGACCTTCGCCCAACCCTCCGCCGGCCCCGCCCACCTGCCCGCCCGCCCCGGCAGGGAGGTTCCTGAGACAGGCCACTGGCGCACCAGGGTCACGGCTGTCCCTGGCACTTGTCACTCAGGGGAAAGAAAAGCTGGGTGAGCAAAAGTCCAGAGCATTATCGGTTCACTCATTATGCAAATGTTTACTGCCCTGGGCGGCTGCTGGGTTCCACGGTGTCCCAGAGGCAGATTTCTTCTTTCTCCCACCTGCCCCTCCCCCGGGCTGACGTGCCCTGCCCTGCCCAGGCCTGGCCGCTGCTGTTGGCTGTTCCCAGAGCACCCAGAGCTGCTGCGCCTGAACGGGCACTTGGCTAGCAAGCAGGTGCCCTGGGGGCTCCACCAGGCAAGGAAGGGGGCACGCAGGGAGAGGAGGGGCAGCACTCTAGAGTCTTGGTTCTCAATGGGGAACCGGGGTGGCAGGCCAGAGGCTGTGGCAACACAGCAGGAGGGTGATCTGTGATTGAGACACTCCAGAGCTGGAGATACCATCCCCCTCTCCTTCCATCCCCTGGAGGATGGACCCTGCCCACAGCCACCCATCTCTGGGCTCCCAATGTGAGGAGCCTCGGGGTCCTGGGGCCCACCCCAATCTCCCCACCTCCCTAAGAACTCTGCCTCCCAGCCTCCACTGGACCTCCCAGCCCAATCGCCCCCTAAACAGGGACGTGCAAATGAGTGTGGGGCACCTGGGGTGCAACCACCCCCCAGTCTCAGCAGCCCGGCACTGGCCCAGATCATTCCCCTTGGCACCAGTGGGTTCTTCAGCCACTCAGCTATAGGCCTGAGCCCGCGGAGACGGTCCCAGTGGCACGGCACAGCCCTGGTCACGCTGGCCCAGTCTGCAGGCGAAGCCAGTCTGTTCCTTGGCCCAAGTCCACTTTCAGGGACACACTGGACCAGGACGCAGAGCAGGGAGTGCCGGGACAGTGAGCAAAGCCCCAGTCTGTGACCCCGAAGCCTGTGACCACCCAGCCGGCTCCCTCCCCACCCCCAGCAGCTGCTGCCCTCGAAGGTGGCCAAGGCCTGCCTAGAGCCACTGTTTCTCATTTAGGGTGAGGGTGAGAGAAAGGGACAGGTGTGGGCAGAGAGGACCTGAACTGGCTGCCTGGAAGAACATGGGGACCCCGTGCAGCCCCCACTGGGCCTGCCTTCACCAACTGACCTGCCTGGGACTGGCCCGGAGCAGAGACTGCAGGCCCCACATGAAGGTGGAGGACATAGGGCTCTTTCCGGCTGTGTGGCCTCAGGCACATCACTCCCCCTCTCTGTGCCTTCCTTTGCTCCCCACAAAAACGAGGCTGAGGAGAGCAGCTGGGGCTCTAGGGTGCTGCGAAGGCTAAGTGCAGGCAGCTGGGCGCCCCTACTGAATGGGGCCCCTTTGTCAATGCTGACTCCTCCCCTCCTGCACACCTCCCTCGGCTAGGTGTCTTGCTGGCAGGGTCCAGTCACTGAGGGGTGAGCAGGCTGACTGGACTGGCAGCACGGCTGGCCTCTCCCACCCACACCTGGCCTGCACCTGCAGGCTCCGCCCTCCCACGCAGGAACGCGCCCTCTGCTGAGCTCGTCTGTTCCAGTCATACCTTCCAGAACCAGGGAAAACCACGGATGGGCCCACCGGGATCAGACCTGAGCTAAGGCTCCATGGGTCACCTGGCCTCCACGAGCCCCTCCTCCGACACAGTGAGGTCTGTCTCCTAGAATTCACATCAGTTCAGAGCCAGCACCCAGCAGTCCCTGAAAGGTCTGGTGATTTCCTTTTCTCCAATGCATAGTCACCCTGGTGAAAGGCCATATAGGCCCCTTTGGAGAAGACTGCGGAAAGACTAACACAGGATAAATTTCTCAGGAACACTTTCCTCACAGCGCGGCGACTTGGCCCCCCCTTCTCTCAGGGCGCTTCCTGGTCTATAACTAAACCAGTCTGCGAGTTGAATTGACGGGCCGCACTACAAGAACATAATATACCAAACTAAACACCAATCATCAACATCTAACAAAACAAAATCAAATAAACAATTCAATCATAGAAACACAAAGCATTCACTTCCAGGAATAAAACACAGGAAATCACCGTGACTGTTCAGATGCCCATTGCTGCTTTGACTTGCTGTCCAACACCAGCGCTCCATGCCCAATTACCTTGTTTTGGGGGTAGGGTTGACACCCTGTACCCGTGCCACCCCAGGGTATCTGAACTGCTCTGCTGCACTTCGGGTTTCCTAACTTCCAGTAGCTGCAGCTGCGCAACTGTGATGTCTGACCTGCAAGTAGGAGAACCAGAAGCACAGAGCGCTTTGGAGGAGGCCTGGGGCCCCCCACCCCAGATTCATTTCTCACGGGCATTAAAAGCAGCAAGATTGTCCCCGGACCCCTCCAGGAGGGGGAACACACACAATCCCTAAGTCTCTTGAATCCTGTCCACTACAGGTTGTCTGCCATTTCACACGATTTTTGTGTGGTCACTTTTGGCCCATCGCTTCGGACCCCCCAACCCACCAAA